GTGTGTCAGGCTGCTAAGGCTTGGACACAGGAACAGCACCAGCCAGCAACATGGAAAGGAAACAGCTGATGGGCAGGAACAAGCAGCATCTGTCTCACATGTCACTCAACCAGAAAGGAAAAAACCTTTTTAAAAGTTGTGTAAAAGAAGAAATGAATCATCACAGAACACAAGTGAGAATCACCAACAAATTGCAAGTCACAGTCACGCAATGTAAATAAATAGCTGGTGCTGACTTAACCAAATTTTGGGTGTCTGGGAAAGGGAAACAGGAGGGACAGAGTAAGGGGGCTGAACTGCCCACTTTTCTGATAAAAAGTTCTTCCCATGATCAAAACTGATGTAAAAAAGAACATACAAATAATGCACATTATTAGAACAGTAGAGTTCAATATTAAAAAAGAGGAATTATTTGACATCCATGGTCTCTAATTAGAACTTGCAGTAGGGAGGGAGAATAGGGTATTTTGACTTCTTGTTATGATTTAAAACTATTGTTTTCTTTTAGGATGAAGAAAGATTCAACATTTGAAGATTTAAAACATTTTAATAGATTAAAGGTACACATTCTTTAAGAAGAATGAGTTGGTGAATTTTCTAGTATAAACTGTAATTTAAAATTTCAGAGATCTGAGGAGATCACTGCATTCAATGTCTAGAAACTCTACAGCTGGGATGTTTGGGCTCAAACCACAGGACATCCAGATCTGAAGCTGAATTAGCGGGAGATTCTGCTTTGTCTGATCCAGAGCAGGCTCCGTGTGCCCCAGCGGATGAGCTGCCAATGAAGACATGATTCCCTTCTATCTTGAGGTGCAAAAATAGGAGATTTTAAAGAAATTCTGAGCTAGCTGAATGAAAATAAAATTGCAGTATCTGAAGACAGACATATATTTTGACACCGGCAAAGCAAATTTTAAGATGTTACAGTGACTGCGGGGTGGCAACTCAGCATGCCTCCGAATCACCCAGCAAGTCCTATCAGGAAGCCTGTTGTTACCTGGAGGACAAAGCCTCTCTATGCTATGTCCAGAAAAAATTACAACTATCTGCCCATGGTTAAGTCTCGCAGAACACCTTCACTATGACCTCTATAACTTATAGCAGAAAGCAGGGACTTGAAAGTATATTAAAATAAGGTTCGGCAGATGCGGTGCCTTCTACTTAAATGGCAGGTGTACCCACTGTGAATAAACACTAACACACTAACTTCATCCTGTTGCATCACCTACATTTTAATGCAGCTGGAAAGAGTGGACGGTAGCTGTGTGGTGAGGATCAGGAAAAATTATGCAACACACATATCACCTGGTGGATATAAATACATGCTAGAAGGGCTAGACTCACTGCCACATGGTTACTAAATAAATGGTATTATGTCACTGTGTTAAAAAGTAGATACAAACTTATTATCACATACTTGACTGGCCTCAGAGGGCAATAATGCCTGCAGTTATAACAATGACTTGTTGCTGTCTGCTTTCTCGTGTTCCCAACATCTGGTACAGCATGGCCTCCTATTTGTCCCTCCCTTTGGCACAACACAGAACCTCCTTTCCTGGTACATTGCTCTTTCCTCTGCCTACTCCTAACCCCAGCTCTTGAGCTGCCTCTATCTCCACATGTTCTCTGGATATGCCACCCCCTCATTCCAAAATGTGTACAGCCTCTTAATGAATGGCAAACTTAGTCTATTCCAAAACCTCATTCTTTATATAGTAAGGGAATGGGGGATGTGTTCTTCAGGCAGAATTTGTAGAACCCTCTACAATCTTTAAGAGAATTGGCTATCATCAGCAAAGAAAAGAACAGTTACTATGGGCCATCTGCCAGGACACAGAAATAGTTCCATCTTACAAGAACAAAAGAAACAGTGTTACTGCTTTCCAGCATTATCTTCATGGTGCATGTTCCTAGAGAGCAAAGTCTATGCTCAGTGGTTTCCTAGTACACATAAGTGCTTGGTCAGTATGCCCTACTAGGTTAATAGTATTAAGTTACTTATATTAAGGAAAAAGAGTTTCAAGATATTGGTATCATGACTACAAAAAATAACATATACAACTTACTAAGGCTGACTCAAAATGCCAAAGTCAACCTGGAGTTCCCTACTTGGTTGTGGTCAAGGCCACTGGTTGTACTTCCTCTGTGCCTTGCTTAGGGCGACTAACCCCTTCTGTCTTTAGTACTCATAATTATTTCTGCATATACCTCATCTCTTCCCTTCCAGACCTACTTTATTCATGGAGCAGTCCATGCCTGCTAGCATCTGTAGATTTCCTTCCAGCCCCAGAGTTTTCATCTAACAGATACTCAACAAAACACACCTGAATTCACAGATGAAACTTGTTTCTGATTTGGGCATAGGCAAGCACTGCAACAGAAACCATGTATTACCACTCTGGCGTCTGGGCTGGTACTATTTCCCCCTAAGCTCCCACACCCCTTGGCCCCACAAAGGTCTAGGTGGGAGGCCATGTTCACAACACTGAACTCTTATGCAGCCCACAGGAGCTCTGCTCCAGACAAAGTCAATTAACTCACCATATATGTATTGAGAATCAGCTGGGTGCTGAAGCAAATCTGTAAGCTTATATAGAGCCCCACGGCTTCACAGGCTGCACCACTGTGGACTGCAGGTGACAGGAAGGTCCCTCTCTCTTATAGTCCTTCGTGTCTTCCTTTGCTTCACAGAACCTGCTCAGCACAGCCTGAACACTAATCCTTGTTTCCTCTCCTAGACTTTCAGCTCCTGGAGACTTGGGTTCCAGTCCCTGGTCACCACTATGTCCTTTTAACATCTGATGAAGGCCTTGCCAAGGACAACTGCTCAGTTCATATTTGCTAAAAAAAAATATTACTGTTTTATAGAGACCAAAACTAAAACTCAGGGCCAGCCTGATAGCTCGGCAGACTAAAGTGCCTGCTTAGGCAGACACAGGAACTGGGGTTTGATCCTGGTGTGCCATGCTGGCCCCACCTCCGGGGCACGCTGAGAGGGCGATTGAGACTGGGCATGGTGGTGGGTGCCTGTAACCCTAGCACTTGTAGGCTAAAAACAGGAGAATCACTACAAGTCCAATCATTGCAGTGAGACCCTATAAATCCTGTATCCCCTGTACTAAATGCATTTTTTTTAAAAAAAGGCCAAATCCTAAAAGTCAGTGCTTTCTAACAACTTTTCAAGGTTTAAATTTTCCTAGCAAACTCTATAAACAAACATACTGAAGTAGTATATCAGGTACTTTTGATGATATAATCAAATATTCTGTTTGAGTTGCTTTTTAACAGATTCCTATTTTCTTCGCTTTTCTTCCTACTTCATACTCAAGGTAGTAAATGCCAAACTTTAAGGATTTACTGTGCAAACATTCATTCAAGGACTAGAATTGCAGACAGACTTACCTATAGGACATATTTTTCATGGGCAAAAACTATTTGTTGGGAGTATTTTTTTTTATGTATTTAGTACAGGATCTATAGGGTCTCACTACACAGATCAGACTCATAGTGATCCTCCTGTTTTCAGCCTCCCAAATGCTGGGATTACAGGTGCGCACAACCATGCCCAGTCTCAAATGCCTTCTCAGGGCACTCCAGAGGCGGGGCTGGCATGGCACACTAGGGACCCAACTCCAGCCACTGTGCTCTGCCTAAGCAGATGCTTTAGTCCACTGAGCTATCTGTCCAGCCCTGGGGAGTGTTTTTAATATACTATCTAGAGGACACTGTACAATAAGATTTTCAAACTCAAATCAATGTAGTGAGTCTTGACTGGTATTTTAAGGAAGGAAACTATAGCCAAGAATATTCATTGATCACCTTCCCACAGTTAAGAATTCTTGCCTGAAATCCTTTTCAGGTAAATATGTGTGTATGGGCATGTGTTTGTGTGTGTGAGAGAGCATGCATGCCCTTACATATGAATGCAAGCATATTCACTTTGAGTTGCAGGCAAAAATGTTACAACAACACTGTTAAGGGATATTTGTCACTCGTTTTGGCGGCTGGGAATCAAACCAACTTCCTGCTGCTGGATAATTCTCAATGCTGTCATTTTGGGCAGAGGCAAGGAGTAAAGAAGCTAAATGAGACCTCCTGATTCGTGCTCCCCCAGGGAACCAGCAGGCCTAGTCAAATGTCTGTACCCACTTGGAGTTTGAATCATGACCACATGACTCAAAAACCATAGTGGCAATGAGCCGGATGTAGTGATATGAGCTGGGCCCACTGAGTGGCAGCTTCAGCTGCTGTTACCAACAGTGGCAGCCCAGCCGGAGGCAGAGATATCCAGGATGGAGCCTGGATATGCTGGTCCTTTGCTCCTCAGCTTTTGATCACCACTCTGAGATAATTTCTCTTCTGCTCAGAATTACCAGACAGGGTTTTTCTGACTCACAACCAAGAATCTTAGATGATAAAAACATCATGAAAGAGGAGTAAAGTGGCTAGAACTTAAGATATGGGAAAATGGAATCTTTTTTCTTCAGTATCAAGGACTGAACTCAGACCCTTTCCCACAGTGGGCAAGCTCTCTTCCACTAAGCTACATAACAAATCCTTTGCATTTTTTTTTTGATGTTTAGACAAGTGCCCAGGTTCACCTCTCACTTGAGATTTCCCAGTCTCATCCTCTCAAGAAGCTGAGGTCATGGGTATGTGCCTGCCCCTTGCCTGCGCAAAACAGTTCAAACTTTTACATCAGAAAAATAACATTTGTTAAGTCAGTGCTTTGTAAACTATGTTACAGAACAGAGTCAGAAAGAGAAAGAAAAAATTGCTGGCCCAGTCCAAGCTGAAGAGATGGACCTGGTCCAAGACAAAAAGTGTTGAAGAGAAATCCTATTAGCACATTCTGCATGAACTGCATTTCAGAGGTTCGGGAGTAGAGAAGAGGTGATTCAAAATTATAGCCGGGAAGGCCTACTGGTGGCAGCATGGAAAACGATTAAAAGCACTGACTCCAGAGCCAGCCTCGACAGACTGGAATCTCCACTTACCAGCTGGAAGAACTTGACTTAGTTACTTGGTCTCTCTTGTGTCAGGTCTGCCATCTGTAAAATGAGAACAATAATAGTACCTCACTCAGAGGGCTGTTTTTGTGAGAATTGAAAATCAGTTAATGGGGGCTGGGGAGATAGCTCCATAGATTAAGTGCTTGCCTGGCAAGCACAGAAGTGCAGGGTCCTGAGTTCAATCCCTGGTTACACACACACACACACACACACACACACACACACACAAATCAGTTAATGTATGCAAGACTTGGGGAAGAACTAGGCATCCAGTGAGTAGGATACAACTTTGTTAAAGAAATACTAAAATATCACCCCGTATGCAACAGCAGATTCATTGCTTCAGATTTAACATGGGGAATGAACTTCCAGCGTGTTGTTCTTCAATAAATTTGACTCTGTTTTAGTTACTTACAATTCTGGAGATAGAGGCTGTCATAATCAGGTCTGAGCACATTAGAGATTAACCATGAAGTACCCCACTCATCACTCACATTACTATGTAAGAATTTATCCACTGCTAAAATTCAATGACACTGGAGAATTAAACATTCCATATAGTTTAATTTTCCAGCAACTGAAACATACTAAGAGGTTATGCACTCAAAAGATTGAATTATGTTAAGAAATGGATTATAAAATATACTGCAGAATTTCTATTTTCTGAAAGAGTACATCAGACCATGGTAATTTTTTCACAGTGATCATTATCAGTCACTAGATTCCTGTAATAGAGTGGTATTTTAGCCAACTGTCCCTCAGACA